TTCAATACTAATATGCATTTTTCAATTTCAGAGGGATTGCATATCTGAATAGTCGGTTGGATACAAGATTCGTGGGCTGGCTTCTATAAATAAAGGCAAAAGCATCTGAGTCAGCGCCAGAGGGCGATTGGATGAGTAAACTACCGTAACTGATTAATTTAATTAAAAACCATTTCTGCACCATAAACAGAATCATTTATTCATGTTGGCTTCTCTAATGACTAACACACAGACCCGAATAAAACACACAGACACAAAGTGGTGTGCGTTTGCATGAGTGTGTGTGTGTGTGTGTTCGAATAGATCTCTTGGGTAAATCGGCTACTCTGATCTTGTCTACATGGTACAACAACAAAACAAACAGCTCGTAGGTAATTAATTATTTTATTTTTGCCTGAACTAAATGTCAGTTTATTTTCATCTGTGCTCATACATTGAAAGCCAATATTATATTTTCGCTTTTCATTTATTTTTTTCTAATTTTTAAATGAAAGAAAATTGAAATAAATTTCACGATTTACTTGAAAACTACATAAAATGTTTTTCATTGTAGCCGCAAACAAAATATCCAGACTGCGCTGCGGTCTAAAAATATCAAATGGACTCTACTTTTTAATTGTTGTTGGTCTCATTTCTTGTTTTTTTCTTTTTTGTGCTGGCTAATCTATTGGAAATTAGTTTTCAAAGCGCAACCATTTTCCAAAAATGAAATTGAAAATAGAATGGACAGCCCGCAGCACACATATATATTTAGATGTGTGTATATAGTATAGTAGAGCATATAGATAATCTGACTGCTGACTGCTGTCTGCTGTCTGCTGGCAGCTGAACAAATTCAGTGTCTGCAATGGCTTTCAATATTTTCGGCGTTCTGGTTTTTACTTATTATCAACGTATCCCCCTCGGGCTGTGCTAGTTTTGCGCACGTTCGTTTCTAGATTTTCATATTCAAGTATTCGATGGCAGTATGGACATGGATACAGCAAACGCTGCGAGCCGTATGTGCGCTAGATGTGTCATCCACAATATTTAATGCTAATATTCAAATGAAAAATAAAACTTTCATGCTCGAGCGGAGGCGGGACAAATGTGCGTTTTGCACACGGCCCCAGAACTATTCCGACACATGTTTCTATATGTTTCCTATACACATAGCTCCTCTATATTTGTATGTATGTAGCCTAAATACAGAAGAACTCAACATATTTATAAGGTGCCTGAGACGTGTCATACATATAAACTTAAGTATGTATAGGTATTCTCTGAGCAATATGAAAGTACATAAGCTGCCTTATTTATAATTCTCACTCAAAGGGGCGAGTGCTGAGTGCTTTGGATGTATCTATATTTATCTATTTAATTCATTTTTCACTTCACTTTCACTCAAATCTCAAGTATTTCGAATTTTATAACAACCGACAAGCAATGCCCTCATGATTGGCTATGCCAAAAAGAAAATGTTCTATATATATTTATATTGCAAAATACTTGTAATTATTTTTA